AGAAGTTGGTGTCTTCTGCGCGTAAGGGAAACGCAGACAGACTTTAACGGTACTCGCTCATAGATACTGCTAGTTTCAAAAGCAATAAAGCTCTCAACGTTGATAAATCCCTATAATGATCCATGAATTTCACTTCATCAAGCAACGTCTTCAGGTGGCTAAAGTATATCTGGCATTTACACTGCTCGCAGTGCCATGCCGCTGTACCAAGTCAGTGCTGCTATCCTCCCAGACAAGTCCGATATTAATTCGACAACTTCATAGTGATGAAAGGCTGGTGACCTTAGGCGCGGGATAGGACCATCAAACACGTATGTCGCAGGGCACCTCTAAACACTACGCCACACGCGCACTGCTACCTATTTGATGTCCAGATAATGTTGGCTATGCATGTTCCAACTTGTTTATCCTAATTATCCTATAGAAGCACTTTCTGCTGTGAATATTAAGTACATCATATGTAGATTAAAATCACCCGTCGCCGTTCTCCCTTCGATCATCGAACTCCATAGATTCGGGAACTTCGGCCTGATACTTCTTACCCACGCGAATAGCACCTTTATCAGCGAGTAATGTCAACTGGCACGGATCGTACACCAACGAATAGAAAAACTTGTCCTAAATATTCAATACAAAAAACGGTATCTAACCGTTAAGAAAAGAAATAATCGTTCAGCACTATACCTCGCCTTCGTAGCTCGAGACGGTTTCAACTTCACTGAGTCAAAGTAACCTGGCATTTCCCACGAATAAGGGTGGCTGGAAGTGTTTCGATTCGTCGAGACAAGAAAAGTTCTCTTTGCCTGGAAGATATTTAGTAACTAATTAGTTTGATCCCTTTGTTTCCTTCAAATGGTATTCACTTGTGAACAGAAAAGGCACGCAACTAAACACCGGTCCGCCGTTTGATTAACACTTTCGGGACCATGGACCAACTCGCTGCGTCTCTAACCCACAGCGTGCTGCGTCTAACAATGGCACCCTGGGGTTAGACGCCATTGTTATACGTAACACATTCTATTGCTAGACGTAACATGCTGGGGGTTAAACGTCATTGCTACACGCAACACGCTGGGACTAGAGAGACAGAGGGTTGGGTCCACGGTCCCAAAATGTTCGATGAAACTAAAGCCTCTTCGCAGTCCTTACGAGGGAGAAAGGGACGGAAAGAGAGGGAAGGAGAGAGAGAGAGAGAGAGAGAGAGAGAGAGGGAGGGAGAGAGGGAGAGAGAGGAATGAGATTGCGATCTAAGCTTGATACCTCATCCTATGTCGCATAGATTCATTAAGTTTATCGACACCTAACGGCAGCCCAGCCGAACCCCACTCAAAACGATTATCGAGTTCGTCTTCATCCTTCACGTTAGTTCTTTGTGAACCTGAAGTAAGACCATATTTGAGGGAATATAAGTAATAATAAATCAAAACCTTTTCACTTACCACCTCCCTCAACATTGTCAATCCTCACATCGGCTCCATTCGCCACAGTATGGCCAGCAGCTCCAAATTTTTCAGGTTTTGGTTTGTCTTCTTCATAATCTAAACCTTGACAAGTTCGTAGAATGTAAGGAGAACTATGGATATAACTCACTTGCAAAAAGGTCATTAACGATTAAACCTCCGATGATGATTTATCCGAGGGATAAACCACGCATACGACCTCACCAAGCATTATTTGAGATAATTTGAATACATGTTTGGCCTTTACAGTCACCCACGGTGACCTGCCAATGTATCAAATCTGTGCCGCTATACACTCAGACAAATCTGGCACCAGTCTGCCAACCCTGAAGGGTTGGAAGACAGTGAGCCTTAGATGTGGGATCGAGCCAACGACCACGTGTGCGTCGCATAGTACCTCTAATCATTGTGCCGCACGTGCCAAAAAAGTAGTAATAAAGTGGTCTAACACTCGTCAAATCGTCGTTCAGCTTGATCAGCGATTTTCAGAAGCGCAGAAGAGATATCTCGACGTCGGTAGAAGAGGGTAACGCGAGCTTCGACCTGTCCAGATGGAGTCTGCAAGAGCCGTTCGTAAGATATAGGAAGCTAAGAGCTTCAAAAAATATGATTTTCACCTCCAAAATTCGACCTACAAACGTCACCTTACTCCTTTTTTAATAATTCTTTCACTTTGTTGCTTTATTTGACCAGTCTCCAGTTTTTTTTTTCACTATACGGGTCCCAGTGCTCTCAGCATTCGAATAGTTTCCTCGCTTGCCGAAGAGTTTCGTCTTCTTGATAAACATCGTATATCACTGATCGAGTACGTCTCCTTGCAATCTCGAGGATAGCCAGGCTGGGGCGTTCCGTAAGACGTTCGTCATTGATAGCCGAAGTGTTGGAGGGAGATGGGGGATCACCTCGCGCGAGCCGCGCCGAGCATCACTAGCTATTGGGCTACTGACCCCATTCATAAATTTTTATCATTGTGAAATTAATCCAAACCATATCTTACATCTTCTGTTTTGATTCTTACCTTATTTAAATCCTCTATTCTACGAATCTGATATGGAGCACTTTCTGGCGCTTCGAAATAGACGTAATCTAAATGAAAACGATAACAACTGAATGGTCCTATCCCAACAAAACCTGATTATAAAACCTTCTAAAGACATAATCAATCATTAAGTCGTTCCATAAGTTTTGGCAATAGAGCAATAAACTCAAAATTTACTAATCAGAAGTAACTGAAATTGCTTAACAACACTATTCAAAGTGTACGCCGTCAGCCTAAACGAATTTCTGCCATCTCTCAGGCACCAGATCAATAGCATTTTCTGCAGAATTATCTGGGCTTCCTTCTGGTATTGTATTTTGCATGATCGTTTATGTGGGACTTTAAAGATAACGACTTTAGGACTCGAAAAACGCCATTTGTGAAAAATTTCACTTTGCAAATTTATCAACCAAATGTGATTGAAATAGCTTGATTTCGGTATGTTCAACTGCGCATTTTGTTGCGAATATTTTGATATACAACTTGCCTATACTTGCATAAAGATGGAGCTGTCTCGGGAGCAAATTCGCAGGCTAATCATGCACGAATGGCTGACAGGGGATATACTGCTGAAGCGGGGCAAGTGTGATGGAGCTTGGACGACGATACGGTTGCAGAAAGGACGGCTAAGAAGTGGATTGCGAAATTCAGAGTTGGATAGGAGAGTCTCGAGGATCAGTCGTACTCGGGCCGTCCACAGGAAGTTCCATTAATCTTACTCGCCGACTTACTAGTATTTCTCCCTACGCGCCATTCGTGCATGAGTAGCAGGGGAATTTGGTCCCAAGACAGCTCCACCTTGGGGCAAATATAGGCCAGTTGTATACCAAAATGTTCACAAGAAAATGCACAACTGAACAATACCAAAACCGCGGAATTCTAACCTCTTCAAGTTAAGAAATTTGGTGTTAATTGCTTTTGTGCGAGAGCTTATGGACCGACCTAATATTACAAATGCAGTAATACAAACTCACCTCCAACTTTATACATGTTTTGAGTATGTGACATGATTGCATATGAAGAAAGATACAGACGCTCAAAGAACTATCTGAAATCCACTCATAATTTAAACCATATCTGATGCTTGAATGCGAGGAACACGTGAAGGTACACATGAGTAGCCGAATCCCTTGGAAGGGATGACAAACAAACGACGAAAGAAAGACAATTGCAAAACCAGTAAGCCTGAGCTGGGCCTTAGCAGATCAAACAATCTGGGCATATAGAATAAATAATAGATTGGAGCGGTGATTCACTCCCTGTCCGATTCCTGTCATCGATGCGACGGCTGCGAAGATCATCGTGGCCCTGATGAAGGCCGGGACCAACGAAGCGCTAGCCATAAGAATCGAGATGTGAATAGAAATCTGTATATTCTAGACCCTGGAGTCACATGGCCTCGTTTCTCGGGGTTTCGAACTCCTCTTGAGGAAAGACAAACAAACTAGAAAAGGCTATTCCGAGCATACATGAAGCTCGGAGAGATGGAACGCCGATAGGTGGTTCGCTCACAACTCAGGGGTCGTCTTAATGTTCCCTGTACGGCTTTAAAGAGCGAAGCACCTATCAATTTTAGTTTCAGATACACCTGAGAGAACTGAATGGTATGCAAACATTCGACCTCAGACGGGGGTAGAACCCACGATTCACCCAAACCGATGGCGCGTGCTACCACTACACCACCGAGGCCATGCTCTGCTACCACTCATTCTTCGATAAGTCCCTACTGTATCTAGCAGCTACCAACCTTCAAAGGTGTGGTCGGGTTAGCACGCATCGCTTCGGACCCGTTACGCTGACATTCTGTATGTATTTTTTGAGATTTTTATTATTTCAACGGGGAGGACGAGCAACTCTCAACAATCGACTCGAATCATCGGCTCTGATGAAGTTGAAGAGGTTATCGAAAAGGAGCCAAAGAAAAGCTAAAGAATAAAGCTCTTGGTGCTGAGCGCTCTCTAAGGGATACGTCATGCATTCGATTCCATTCGTTGCTTCGTTGGAGGTGACTCAATCCTTATGTGGCCTTTACTATCAGTGACTCGCGGTGGTTTTCCGAAGTATCAAGTCAGTTTGCTATCCTCCTAGAAAAGTCTGGTAATAATTCGTCAATCCTGGAGGAATGGAAGGTTTCGGGCTTTCAGCGCAGGATCGAACCATCGGCCATCGATTGGTCACCTTGTCTGTCGCAGAGGTCCTCTAACCATTACGCCACACGCGCTTTCAAATTTTCCGATCTCTTCAAGAATGAACGAAGAATTCAAGGATACGAATCGAATCGAATGGCAAGAAGTCTCCAAGGATACGAGTCGAGTCTAAGGGTACGAGTTGAATCGAATGGAATCTCCGTGCAGGAAATTCTGATGACGGGTGGTATAAACCATTAAATAAAAGTATCAGATATCTGTCCAACGGAATGGGTTCAATGTCGATATCGACCACCTAGGTTTGGTTTCTGACAGATAGATGCGCTAAGGCGTAGAAGAGTGGGGGCAAAATAGGAGTCGGTAGCAATCGGTTAGGCACGCGCGCCTGGACAGCGTGAAATGCGGGTTCGAGTCCCGCCTGATGCAAAAAGTTTTACACACCACCCTACATCATTAAATATATCTACTTAAATCCAATAAACTCTACGTAATAATACTTTGAATAAAAGGATAAAGGATGAAGGCCTCCCGCTGAACCGAGTCAGTGCTGCTTATCCTCTCAGACAAGTCTGAGATCCAATTCACTGACGCCGGAGGGATGGATGGCCTGATGAGCCATGAGCGCGCGATCGAACCATAGACCTCGTAAGCGATGCAGAGCACCTCTAACCACTGCGCCACATGCGTTCATACTTTGAATACACCTGTTAGTCATCCTTCAGCCATGTATGTAGTCTGTTATATGCTTATCATTTGACCATTTATAGCGGTGGTATAATGTTACAGATATACCCAATGATGTTCAGTGATGTGCAAAACTTTCGCGTCATACGAGACTCGAACCCGCATCTCACCGTTTCCGGGTACGCGTGCTCTAACCCGTTGCACTACCGACACCTTTCTTCCAAGAACTCTTTTTACGTCGAAAATAGTCTAGAAACCGACATTTCCGGCATAATCAATCAATAGCCATAGATTACTCGTCGAATAAGCCAATGCCAAAGTTGACAAAGTTTAAAGAGATAATAATCAGAATTCTTATTATCTGACGGCCACTTACGGTGGTATGATGGTAACCCAATTGGGGTGCTGTGCAAAAACATTTGCGTCGGCCGGGATTCGAACCCAGACCTCACTCTTTCCGGGAGCGTATATTAACCGTTGCACGATTCAGAGTATTTAGAAGGAAAAGAGAAGAATGAAAAAATAGGAATAAAAGAAACAAATATCGAAGAGTAAATATATGGAGACATGATAAACAATAAAGACTAAAAATAGCTAAATTAAACGATTTAGAAAAAGCCCTCCAATAAATTATTAGTAGTAAAAATAAATTATTAATGTAGTGCAATAAAAAAGCTGTAACGATAATGAGCTAAAATGTCAATAATATACTATAAAACGCTGTGGCGCAGTGGTTAGAGGTGCTCTGCGACGCGCATGATCGGTCAATCGATGGTCGATGGTTCGATCCCGCGCTCGAGGCTCACCAAGCTTTCTGTCCATCCTGAGTCGGTGAATTTATATCAGACTTGTCCAGGTAGATAGCAGCACTGTCTTTAGACATTGGTAGGCCACCGCGAGTCGTTCTAAAAGTCAGATATGCCTTCAATCACCTTCAGAGATGCTACGAATGGAGTCGAATGCATGGCACATCCGTCAGGGATTGATCTACGCCGAGAGCTTTGTCTCTTATGATCTGGGGAGATCCTAGAATAACTTGATGGCCGAGAAAAGACATGGGCTGGAGGCTCCTCGAGGAACTGGGAATCCCAGCTCTCACGGGGAAAAAGAAAATGATCTACGAGGCGCTCTGGCGCGCAGCAGCCACCCGGAGCGCGGAGATAGAGCCTCCAGGGACATTAATAAATAGAAACAAATAAAAAAATAAAAATAAAAAATAAAAAAACGAGGTAAAAAATCAGAGAGAAGGAGAGACCTAAGGAGACAGGCGCAGCGGGCGTCGACGGAGTTCGGAGTAATTAGCATATTAACTTGTTAGTAACGGTAGGGCTTCAAATTCGTATTGGAGCACGATATTTTCAGCCGACGAGACTAGCACCATAACCCATTGGGTTATAACCTGCTTTGTTTCCTGTTTCGACACTTTTGTTAAAACAAATTCTCGTTTAGGGGGTGCAGTGGCCGAGTGGTTTTGATGTTGGTCGCGGTGCGCATGGAGTCGAGCTCTACCCCTGAGACCCTCCGCCCTATGCAACGCCACAGCCAGGCCATCCTCGAGAGTGCAAAGAGCATGCTTGATCAGTGCTTGATCTACGTCATTCATGAAGAAGACGAAAAATGAATGAAATGCTAAAAGTACTGGGGTCTGTACAATGAAAGTTGTGATGACGAACCATGTAAGTAAACAATAAATGAATAAATGATCATTTGAAGAAATCAACTGATCAACAAATATATAGCCCGACATCCTAAGTGGTTACCGCCTCATCGTGGCCGGAAGGTGTTCCTGGGTGCCGGACTGCGGAGTACGGGAAGTACAGCGGGTTTTCAACCGCCCCCCCCCCCCCCCCCCCCTCCCCCCCTCCACCCCCGCCCGCCTACCCCAGCAGCGCCACCGAAGTTGAGAAAGAGTCGGACGTTTCCATTCACTAAGCCCTCCTAAGAGTAAACCGTACCAGGAATGAGTCTTGATAACTATTAGTCGCAAGGGGTGATCTCCCTCTGATCCACGAACGTCGCCGACTGCTCTAATGTGGTGACAACCTCAGGAGACCCCGGCTACGCTCACCTCGGAACTTCAGAGAACAAAACAGCTAATTGGCGCGGCTTTCCTGCACTGGGGCTCGCACTATCAGTGAAGACGGACCGTTTAAGCATCCAAGAAAGTAGATAGCGTGATAGAACACTTTAACTGGTTGACTTACATGGACCCAGGGGCGTGTCCAACAACTCCACACTTAATTTTCGGTGCCTTCTCGCACGTTTCATCAGTACTACACGCTCTACGGCTCCCCTCTACTATTAGTAGTCGGCACCGAAGACGTATCACTCCATGTCAAGTGAAATGGTTACTTGATGTGACGTTCATTCAAAGTGACTGATTGTCGATTGCATGGCTTACGGTTGTTATGGAAGCACATATAACAATGCCTTCCAATTGACTATTCTGAGCACGGCACTTATATGTTAGATGGCCATAAATGACTATTCGATCTCATTCACTGGACAAGATTTCTTCATAGGAACATAAGTAATCGTTCGAAAACTTGAATCTCTGGCTAGAGCCGTACATGGCCATTTTTCGAAAGAGCCTTTCTATAACGCTGTAGCATTCAAAATAAATTTATGTTTCATACCCTCCGGGCACTTTCATGTTTCTCACGCGTATAATTCGCTGGAAGCACAAAAAACATATGAATGTGTAGAGAAAATCTCGTAGTATCTGAGTCAATCGTTCTTTTTTTTCAAAGCGGAGAAAAAATTCCCAGTTGAAAACAAGTTGCACCTCACATATGTAATCCGTGAGAGCATCGATCTATCGCCTTTCCCGCTCCGCCCGTAAGTTGGCCGGTAAGCATGCTTGCCGAATATGTGAAGCTCGATCTTATTTTCCTTGCTACAATGAAGCAAAACTGTCTTTTCAGAAAATAAGCACAGCTCTGGAATCACTAGAAATTATGATATCAAATTACTATTAGTCTAAAGAAAAAGCTCTGTCCGGTGGGGTGTATGCAACAGATCTTTTCCTTCTCTCACAGCGCTATCTAAAAAAACTTTTCTAAAAAGTGAACACTTGAGTTCTTTGTGCCATAGAAACAGTACTATAACTCTACGGAAGGAATTTCTTCTGCGAAATTCAAGCAGGATAAGAAAAAAACGCGTCGTCGTGTGAACATAATTTCATCTTGGATTTTACAGCGTTAAAAGGGTATTTTGAAAAACCGGCCGCATACGGCTTTAGCTAGAGATTTAAGCTTCCGAATGCAACAATCCTATGAAAAAATTTTGTCCAGCGAATGAGGTCGAATATTCGTTTATCGCCGTCTAACGTCAAAGTAAAAACACAATATATGGTCTGATAGGATGTTTTCAGCAAATATAGTCGCCAACATGATCAGCGATATGCAATCATTTGCTAAATAAAAACTGGAAGCCTTCTCTAGGAAAAAATGAGGTTGGCGATCAAAGAAGTAGGTGAGGTCACTTTTGAGCTAGTTACGGTGTTGATCGTTTCAACCGCAGGTTCTGCTTTAGGGCGCAGAATAGATAATAGTCCGGTGAAGGGATATCAGTGCTATACGGTGCATGTCGTACCGTGGTCCAAACCAGTTTCACCAAAATGTGGCAACCCGACTTTGCAACGTGTCGGTTCGAGCGTTATCGTGGGGAAGCGCCGCACTGAACCCTTTTCGGACGATTCTCTCGTACTGATGGAGCTAACTTCCAGAGTTGTTCTCTGAAGAGATCGGCATTGATTGTCTGCTTGTCATCGAGCAGTTCCTGAAACATTATGCCCTGCCAGTTTCAGAAAACCGAGAACATAATACTGCGACCATGGAACCTCATCTCTGATTGAGCTGGCGGGTATTGCCACGAGGCAGCGAGTAGACATGGTCCGTGTTGTTCTTGTGGTGGACCCGGGACTCATTTCCATTGATGATCAACTTAAGAAAGTCTTGCCTGTACCCTCGCAGCACAAGACTTTCGCAAATGGTCACACCTGCAGAGCGGTCGTGGTCGGGCAATTCATGAGGTGTCCATCGAGACATGATTTTGTGTGAAGCATTTGAATTAGATGTGAAGCGATGGTGCTACAGTTATATCCAAGTGCTTGTTGAAGTTATCAGAACACTCTTCAATGTGCCACAGTCCATTGGCAACAGCCTGATTTGTAATAGAAAGAAGTGAATCGAACAATAGTGCAAAAGAAATTATGGGATAACTCAATACAAGAATTCCTCGATTTTACCGTTTTTCAAATCAGTGGCATGATGTTATAATCGTATATCCAGTAACACTGAGTCATACGCAAAGTTTCAAACCTCGGCGGGAGCTGAATCTTTGTCTTACCCTTTTACGAGTCGTGTGCTCATCACTGCACCACCGGAGCTCCTGCTCTGTAGATTATTTTTGCAGCAATGCAAGAGAGCATCAAAATCGTTCCTTAGATTCAGCTTATGCGAGGTCGGCTCCGAGAATTAGAGCCGTTACTGGCTAAATTTCTCGGAATGTCAAACGCCCTACAGGAAGACCACCGACCCGATGGTTCAATTTCCTTACGAAAAGCCTAAAAGATTTATATACATATATATATATATATATATGCATATATATATTTATGCGTGTACACGTGCACATATATGCACAATTCTACAGAAATATCTATATGCATATGCATGTGCCTACGCATGTATATGTACGTATATATATATATATATATATATATGTATATATATACATATATACATATATACATGTACTTTGGAACTTTTCTGAGGACTGTTATGGGCACTTATACAGTGCAAGATACGTATTTCGGCTTTCCAGTCTTACACATGATCACTCTGAGAGAACGCCACGTTGATTGCTTCGCCGTCCATCGAGTGTGAAAAATTGTCGCCGATTCCTATACAGAGGGGGATTCCGGAGGAACTGACTGAACGAAATAGTACCGTGCAACTGACGAGGTTATAAAGGGCTTAAAATACATTTAGATTTCCATACATGTAGATCGCAAGGACTGTCCCTGTTAAGGCGACGCCGATAATTGATGCCGATGTTCATAGAAAGTCAGCCTTTCAGATATTCTTACATTTATGTCATCATGTCGTCACAACAAAATCTCTCTCTAAAATTTATGATGTTTTAGACTAGTCAAATCCACTAGTTATCGAAAACAATGATATATTTTAAAAAACAACATTGTCAAGTTC